AAGCTTCAAAATTCGCCATATTTTTTAAATTTTTGTGTATTATTTGACAGCTAACATGTAGGGTATCGTCTACTAACGACTGGATGAACATATGCTGATAGACTATAGTCAGTCAGTCAGATGCAACGTAGAACTTCGTACGTAAGTACATCAGTTCATGTCGCCATACCACATCAGCACAGAGATGTAATTGACAATTCAAATCCAATAGTAGAAAAGGTAGAAAGGGAGTTAGAAGTAATCGGAGAGGCTAGGATTAGAAGATACTATTCAAGAAGTATGATTCAGTGAGATAAGTTTAGAGAGTCGAAACTAGAGGTGTTGAAGAATCCAAAAGATTAGCATTTGAGAGAACACAGAGAATAAATGCACTGGCGCCATTGCAAACGATTTTGAGCCATGTCATTCAAGGTCTCTAACCACCGATTATTATCATCTCGCGGACCCCAACCAGGTAGTCGACAATTACCGACATGGCTCAGTCCACTAGTCAATAACTCCATGGATTTCTGCCATGTTTTGGTCTGGCCGCCCCTAACTTTCTTCCAACCTACTCCTACACTACAAAACATAGCTCGTCGGGGCAGTCGGTGGTTCGGCATACGCAACACATGTCCCAACCACCTCAACTGATTAAGTTTCACCACTTCATCGATTGATCTGCCATTCTTACCTAGTACCCGATTCCTAATAACAGCGTTGCTTACTCGGTTGTCCCACGGTATACGAGCAATGCTTCGAAGACACCTATGATCGAAAACCATTAACCTACGAATATCTTCTACTCTCATTGGCCATGTTTCACAGCCATAAAGTAAGACGGAGCGAACCACTGAGCAGTACACTCGTCCTTTAGTCAGCAAACCGATATCACGCCTACGCCATAAGTGACGCAGGTTGGCAAGAGCCAATCGAGCCTTCTGTATCCGAGCTGAGATTTCGTCAGTCACCAGGCCATCGGCACTGATGAGACTCCCAAGATAAGTGAAGTGGTCTACACGCTCGACTACTTCACTGCCTATCACTAGTTCAGGTGCCGATGCAACCCAGTCTTGAAGCAACATTTTGCATTTCGAGGGGGAAAACCGCATCCCGAACATGCTTGCATTATTGCTTAGGGTAGTCAGAAGACTCTGCATTTTGTCAGCGTCTTCACCAAGTAGGACAATGTCATCGGCATATTCTAAGTCAATAAGCGAGCCACCTGGTAGAAGGTCTACTGAAAATTCAGACGAGGATAATGTTATGTTTAGGAGCATGTCTATGATAAAATCTAACAAGAATGGAGAGAGTGGACATCCCTGACGGACACCACTTGATGTAGAGAATTCCGGTGACAGATCGCCATAAGCTCTCACTCGACCAGTGGTGTTTGAGTAGAGAGCTTGTATGAGGTTAATGTACTTCTTTGGTACACATTTCAATGACAGACACTGCCACAGAACCTCACCATCCACTGAGTCAAATGCCGCCTTTAGGTCCAGGAAACCAACTATTGTCGGACGTCTAAATGTGTGTCTGTTCCAGGACCTGTCGTTGTGTGAAAATGTGGTCTATACAACCACGTCCAGGTCGAAAACCAGACTGGTTTTCTCGAGTTTGCTCTTCACGAGCTTTCGTTAAGCGTCGAAGTATTGTTGAGGCCAATATTTTAGATACTATATTAGTTAGACTTATTCCCCTGTGATTGTCACAAGAAGACTTCTGTCCTTTCTTATAAATCGGGACAATCAGTGATTGAGGACCAGTCGAATGGGATTGCGTCCAGTTCCCAGATTCTACCTAAGATCTCAGTCAACCTAGCTGCTATAACTGGACCACCATCCTTAAATATCTCAGGGGTCAGTCTATCAGGACCTGCAGCTCGTCCTCGTTTCAGATTTCCTAACGCTTTCTCAACGTCATAAAGTCTAGGGGGACTTAGTCGATTCGCCATTCAGGATGACTGGAGATCGTGGGTAACCGAAGAGTGGCTCGCGGCCAGTTGGACTGATCCCTGAAGTGTTCTGCCCATCGATCCAATATCCTGGATTGAGAATGAATAATAAGGCCGTCCGCTTCCGAAATAGTCTCGCTGACAGTCGAATTCTTAATGCCAGTTTCTTTAATAAGGCGGAAAAGTTGTCTAGTGTTGCCTATCGCCGCTGCCTTTTCCATCGCTTCTGCTTTCGCCACCCACCACTGTTCGCGGTCGTTACGCAGACTTTTTATAAGTCTGCGCCTAAGCTGACTACGCTCTTCATCATGTTCAGAGTCAGGTGGGATGCGTTTTCGAGCATCCATCAGTTCGGTGGATGCGACTGAAATCCACTGCTTCATACTAGCCTTATAGTTTACCTTCCTAGCAGATATCACTGCTGTTTCCACAGCCTTTTTGATATCATACCAACCTGCTTCTGGATGGGAATCACTTACATCGTTGCTTAACTCTCTTTCTAGTTGCTCCTGAAATATTTTCTTAGTTTGATTATCATTAAGTAAAGCCCTAAGAGGCTTCCTTACGGTGTCTTTCCTACGCCCAGTAAGCCTCAAACAGATACGAGCTCGCACTAGAGCATGATCTGAATCCAAACATGTGCCCCAGAACGAGCGACAGTCTTCTATCGAACCCCTCCATCGGTGGCTGATGGCGATGTGATCTAGTTGAGTCCAACGTTGAGACGACTTCGGTGGTCGCCAGGTCAACAGATGCTTTTCCTTATGCCTAAAGTTGGTGTTCGCTAAGAATAGGCGGTAATCTGAGCATAGTTGTAACAGACGGTCGCCATTGTCTGTTCTCTCAGTCGCTACACCATAACATCCTCCTAGATGTCTTTCCTTTTCACCTAATCTACCTACTTGAGCATTAAAGTCACCAGCCATTATTACTATGTCAGAGCGCCTAGCTTTTTGGAGGAGGTCCGAAAGCTTTCTGTAAAACTCGTCTTTAACCTCGTCTGCACTGCAGTCAGTGGGGGCATAGGCAGATATGACGAAGAGGCAACGGCGAGTGTCCCTATCCTTACTGTCCCGTTTAGTCGGACAGCGCACAAACGACGATAGACTATATGCATCTAACTGCCACTAAAACGCTTGCGAATCAGCTAGTAGGACTGCACAAAGAGATAGGGAGTGACTTTCAACTGACTGCAGTTTTTTTTTCTCTCTGGTCTAACTTCTAACTCCGCAGTATACAATTTACAAGTCACATAGCGAATAGTACCCACCACATCGATACCTTAAGAATATTTAGCACATTTTAAATGGCATGATTTGAAATTATCTGAAGAATCTCATTTGATTTGATTAGAGCGATTTATACATTAAGCTTAGCACGTATCAACAAAAATCTAAATCTCACTCTAGTTCAGTCTAGCATGAAAGACCTAACACAGATGTGACCCGATTTGAGTTTCATAAAAACTAAAAATATCGGTTATCATGCGATTGTTGGTCCCTACTTGAGATTATATGATAATAACCACCTGTTTCGGTTAAGGTACCCGGATACTGTTCTAGCTCACACAAATATTCACTGATTTTTGTGGCACATAGACATTTGTACTAATGTCTGTGTTTAAGTAAATAAATACATCCCATAGACGATAAAGGCTCTTCACAGTATTCTACGAGAAGCTGACTTCCCAGGCATACTACGGTATGCAGTCTTGTCCTCTGACAGTGGCGTTTGTGCTGAACACAAAATAATTATAACCAGCTATAACTTTGTGTGAAACTTAAAGTGATGCGTGACTATCAAGAAAATTAGTTATAATTTGTCTCAAATCATTCATTACATCTACTGGAAGAAACATAGAACTCGACATTTACCAAGCACAGTCATTATCCAACAGATATATTTCTCTAATTTTTACACTGTAGACATAACCCATCAATAGTTATATCCAAGAAACAGAAACAGAAACATCATCAGTTCAGAAAATAATTTATTCAGTAAAAATGAAGGTTCTGTTAAATATTTTACAAACAAGTGTCGTTTAGAAAAACAAAGTTAAAAATTCTGATTTTAGATCAACTTTATTACAAGTCTGAGTAGTTGCTTAGTTTATCCCCGACATTCATAACAAGCCGCAAAAAAAAAGGAAGGGGAAAATGTTTATACAATATACTGCTTAAATTCATATATATATAAATGAATAGGAGAACTAAAATCTGGTTACGACGGATGACGAAGAATACGGTGGTTATATTTGTTTAGCAGAGAAAATGTACAGTGTACTTGATATTGTGTTGAATATGCTCAAAAACGATTCTGTGTATACATAAAATCAAAGGCATGAATCTATTTCTTCTTTCAGACTACAGAAACAGGTAAAACAACTGTCGATAAACGGGAAACATTTGTAGAAAACTCTGAATAAACTGTGAGGAAATTGCTCATAATTCGTACAGCTGAAACTTGACAAATATTTAACTATTTTCATAGTTTCCATTTTAAGACAACTAACAATCTAGAATATAAGCTTTGATTCATAAAACAAAGAAGTCATCGATGAACGAATTATTTCATTGGTGGTGTAAAATTGACCAGTTACACAAGAAATATGTCATGAACTATTAAGTCACAATAGCTTCTTGTAACCAATCCCCCCCCCCCCCCCCCCCCCCCCCCCCTATAAACAGGTTAATAAATGATCGAGAGTATCTCACTATTATCGTCTACGTACATACTAGCTAAAAGTGACAGTTTGTGGTAATTATTGTTTACGATTGTAATCACAGTAGGCTACAATGAATATATATAAAAGGTTAATAAGTATTAACTGATATCGCAATTCGCAATCAAAGATGGTTTAGAAGATCGTTATCCATATAAATAAAATGAAACCGATATGAACTATGGGTTAAAACAAGAAAAGTATCCTCACATGAGATAACTGCGGCGACATCTTCATTCAGTAGAGTTATATACACTTTGATGACACCGAGCAACTCTAACAGATTCATATGAGATGTTCATGATTAGATACAAAAGTATTAACTCTTGCTTTCCGGAATAACTAAACAGTATATGCGAAAACTTCTCTGTGTGTAGGTCTATCAATTAGTTTCCGTGATACGTGGACAGATGGCTTTTTCATAATACTAGGTAAATAATGACCAACGCTCATTGATCGCGTTGAGTGACCAAAAAACACCTCTACATTAGGAAAGTCAATTCGGTCGAAATTAGTGTATACTCCGGCAACTCCAGCAAACTTCTCCATGTCATAGGAAAGATATTTTGAATCTAGAAATCCATCAGTAAGTGAGGAATGTACTGCATCAGAAACGCAGATGGAGTTATCATTAAACCGTTCAGCAGAACGCTGAGCAAGTTGAGTTCTTATAAGTTGTTCACCAGTACCTGAAGTGACCACCCCAATACTGGAAGACGGACCAAGTTCTTCTGCCCAACAACCACAACCATATGTACATGCTTGACCTAAACGACCTTCATATTTCAATGCAATACCACCACTAGAAGATGCTGCGGCAATTTTCCCTTCTAAATCAATACAAACAGCGCCTACGGTATCAAATCTATGAACACGAGACCTTTTTACCTCAGGAATATCTCCATGATGATCGAAATGGGAATCTTTTGTAGTCGCATGTATTTTGTTCTCATTAAATAACCAACTTTTGTATTTTTCCCATGAAACCTGTGACTGCTTTGTGACAAGATTACCATTATCAACAGAATAGCCTTTTGATGCAGCCCACAGATGAGCACCATCACCAACAAGTACAGATGGAGGGACGCGTCCTAATTCACCCAGAGGGCGATCGATTTGTGACTGCAACAACAGCCTTGCAACTTTTACAGGATTTTTCATATTACGAACAGCTCCTATACCAGCAAACTGAAGAGTAGAACCACTCATTATTCCCGCGTCACATTCCACATAGCCATTAATACTCAAATTACTACCGATTCCTGCATTGGTTAAAGGACTGTCTTCTAAATACGCTACAGCTGCTTCCACAGCATCGATGGCGCTTTTGTGATCGACTGACAAAAGTTTTGCAGCCTGCACGTGTTGTTGTCTGTGTGTGTGATTGAGTGAGAATGCTGGTTGGTCGGTTGACTGAAGAATGTTCGTTAGGATAGTTATTATACGGAGTGGATGAATGGATGGATGGAGTGAAGCGTGGATGGACGGACGCATGGATGAATGAATTTATGATTGAAAGAAACAACTAAATAACGAAAGACAAAGTAACCAACGAAACCAACGAACACGAACGAACGAATGAACGCACGAACGTGCAGGCTAGTGAGCGAACGATCGAGAGTGATTGAGCGAGTGAATGATAGTTGTGTGGTTGAGTGAGTGATTGATTGTTGGTGACTGTTGCTGTTGGTTAGTGATGGATGATCTGAGTGAGTAACGTATTGATTTTTCGGCTTGGTTTTTTTTTTCTTTTTTATCCTTACTCCTTATTTGTTGTTTTTTTATATTTTCTTTGGAATCAATTATTTAATTATTTATATTACTTCAAATTTGTTAGTAGTTCGTTTTTTTTTTATGGTCCGACCGTGTTTATTTTCGTCGTTTAACTGTTTTGAAAATATTGTATTATAGTTTTAGTGTTTCATTATATAAATTTTAATGAAACCGTTGATAGAACATCAAAATTATTATCACGAATAGCTTCGAAATGTTCATTTGCCATAATTAAATTCATTGTGAATATTTTCATTTCCATTGAAATTTTTTTATGAATTGATAACACATCGACTTTGCTGGTATATTTTGTTGGATGCTGCCTTTAAATGTTGAGATATTTTCAGCAAACGGTATGGCATTCCGATAGGAGATCTAAATGTCAAGCTTGTAACGGACATCACCGGATATGTAAACATTATCAGACCATATGGAATGGTAAAATGTAACGGAAACAATGATAGATATGCAAATATATATGCCTTCAACAATATGGTCATAGGTGAATCCATATTCCCACACATAAGAATATGCTTCACACAATACACATAACGAAACTGAACATACCTGTATCACTTAAAAAGTTCAGCAGGACCATGGAGAAAGTGCAAACCAAAATAGGAGCTGATATAGCCTCAAATCATCACTTACTGGTCGCCAAGATGAAATAGATGGTGAATAGACACTGGACATTATGGCAGATAACATCACAAAACTTTAATACGATCATTCTTCGGGATTCTGAGAACCTCCTCGAAATGAAGATAGCCCTTAGTAGTAGTTTCCAAGCCCTTGATGATCTACCCAAATGGTGAGGAGACGACCATGTAAACCAACTGGAAACAGATCAACATGTCAAGAGGATCTGGACCACAAGAAGCACCATCACAAGGAATAGAACTCCGTGGATAAGATTCGAGAGAGGAAGAACAAGAAGACAGCATTTAATATTAGCCAAACAACAGCAGGGAAAACCAAATCCCAGGCTGAATACACAGAAGCAAACAAGCTAGTGAAGAGGAGCATCAGGGCCTACAAATGTAAGTACGTGCAAGATCTAGCAATGACGGCGAGAAAGGGTGCAACAGAAGGTAACTTGAGACAATTGTACAATAAAACAAAGAAGCTCGCTGGAAACTATCATAAACCAGAAAGACCAATGAAAAGCAAAAAGGGCAAAGTCATCAGCGACTCTGAAGATCAGTGACCAGCCCCACCCACCCCACCCAACATCGAAGCAGCATCTACGGACCTCCCAATCGATGTTGGCTCACCAACAGTTGAAAAGATCAGCAAGGCTGTTAGATAAATCAAGGGTTGCAAAGTAGCGGGACTAGAGAGCATTCCAGCAGAGGCATTGAAAGCAGACACAGCTGCAACTTCAAAGATGCTCCACATTCTCTTCAACAAGATTTGGGATGAGGGACAAATACTATCAGACTGGGAAGAAGGAGACCTCAACAAAATACCAAAGAAAGGAGATCTCAGCAAGTGTGAGAACTACAGAGGCATCACTCTTCTTTCAATACCAAGCAAAGTCTTCAACAGAGTATTGTTAAACAGAATGAAGGACTTCGTAGACGTCCAACTTCGAGACCAACAGGCTGGATTTCGTAAGGATTGATCGTGTACTGACCAAGTTGCAACATTACGGATCATTGTGGAACAATCAGTTGGATGGAACTCATCACTCTACATAAACTTCATTGACTACCAGAAAGAATTTGAACAGGACAACACTATGGAGTCTTGCTCGGCAGTACTACGTGCCTGAGAAAACAGTCAACATCATAAGAAATTATTATGATGGATCAAACTGCAAAATCGTGCACGGAGGGCAGATGACAAACTCGTTTCAGGTGAAGACCGGTGTCGGGCAAGGTTGCTTACTCTCACCCTTTCTCTTTCTCCTGGTGATCAATTGGATTATGGAGACGTCGAAATCTGGAGGGGAGCACGGTATAAATGGACAGCCGGGATGCAGATGGATGGTCTGGACTTTGCAGATGACCTGGCTCTTCTATCGCACACGCAACAACAAATGCAAGAGAAGATGACCAGCGTAGCAACAGCCTCTGCAGCAGCAGGTCTGAAAATATATTAAGGGAAAAGCAAGATTCTACGATACAACATAACATGTGCCAACCAAATCACTCTTCATGGAGACGCTTTGCAGTACGTTACCAACTTTACATATCTGAGCAGCCTCATTGGTAGGCGCAATGAAACTGATGCAGATGTAAAGGCACGGATTGACAAAGCAAGGGCTGCATTTCTCCGATTGAAGAACATCTAGAACTCAAAACAACTATCGATAATAGACAGAAAAGTCATAATTTCCAATAAAAATGTCAAGACACTTCTCTTGTATAGGGCGGAAGAGGAAACCCAAGAAATGGAAACTGACAACAGAAGAAGTAATCCAATTGAATCTGATCAAAAAATAAAACAAAACAGCTAGTAAAAATTAGACGTGAAAAATTGAAAATACCGGAAAAGAAGATCGAACGAGGAGGCAAAGCTCCCAAAATTCATTATCATAGAAATGAAGGTCACAAAAACAATATTAACTAGCCACTCGAATGTCTAATTCTAGTCATATGGCAGCTGTTCGTGAGTTTGTACGTACAGTGATTTGCATGAGTACGTTTGTTTCAGGGCCATGGGGTTTCGGGATACCAGCAGCTATCACATTACCATGTCGGAGATCAGCTTGATACAATGTGGAGAACAACAAGGATAAAATTCTAGTGCTGATAAGAAGATTTCAGAAATAAGTAAATAAATAGATAACTTAGTTTAATGATTGCTAGCGAAGATTGTGAGAAAGGATCGAAGTGTGAGCGAGGGAGAGGAAACAAAAGTAATAAGCGAGATGGATTAGATTAGTGATCTGAGGAGATGACAGTGATAACAACTAGCAGATCTCAAGATATGCATCAGGCACAGCTTGTCCACAATAAATATGATAATCCGTAAGTGAGTACGTGTTTATCATCTCGCCTCTCAAAGCTGTCCAATGAGTGGGTTGTGGTCACCTGGGCTTAGAGAGCATTCCAAGTTGCAACGACTCCTAATGAGAGATAGTGTGCACGAACCTGAGTATTTAGACTTGGAGGAATACCTCGAGAGGAGTTATGATGGTGTTGTATTCGTGAGGTGGTGACGTTTAGATGACTTGGAGTGTTTAATATGTTGTACTACATTATAAAATCACCTCTGATTCTCCTGTAACTGAGAGAGAATAATTCCAAGTGCTGGAGTCTATCTTCCTTAGTCTTATTTTTCAACTCTATCACCCGTTTCGTTGCTCTTCTCTGAAATTTATGCGAGAAATTTATATGTCTTTTAAGGGCAGAATGTACACGACGTGACATTTCTATTGGTGTAGTTTTAAAACGTTTCCCACTGCCCATTTGTCAATGAATGTAAGGTGTTTTGGAAGCTCAGTCGAATATTCCCCTTCACATACACTAAACATGAACAGTCAAAATGATGATAAATTCAACTGAAAATCAGAAAAGAGAGAAGATTAAAATATAAAGAAAGGAGAGAAGGCAATTAAAAATCAAAGCATAAACAAGCTAATAACAATAATCTGTGAAGTATATACAGTTGACTCACACACACATGCGTACACTGTTTATCAGTCACTCCGACCACATCAACACCACTCACTATCCATCCTCATCCACCTCCACAGTCTCATCCCCTCCAATCCCTCATATCGTCCACCACTAGTCCAGCCTGCACGTTCGTGCGTTCATTCGTTGGTTCGTTGGTTACTTTGTACTTTCGTTATTTAGTTGTTTCTTTCAATCATAAATTCATTCATCCATGCGTCCCGTCCATCCACGCTTCACTCCATCCATCCATTCATCCACTCCGTATAATAACTATCCTAACGAACATTCTTCAGTCAACCGACCAACCGAGCATTCTCACTCAATCACACACACAGACACACACACGTGCACACTGTTTATCAGTCACTCCGACCACATCAACACCACTCACTATCCATCCTCATCCACCTCCACAGTCTCATCCCCTCCAATCCCTCATATCGTCCACCACTAGTCCAATCATTCTTCTGCCTCAACACCTATCTCCACAACCATTTTGTACACCGACTGACTCGTACCTCCACCTCTTCCCACTCTCCTCTCTCTACTAACCACTACTCACTCACATTCATTGTGCAACAATCCACATCGCCTCTGCTCATCTCTCTGCACACAACTCTTCTGCTTACTGTGTTCTGATGGCCTGCCTTCCACTAGTCTACCTGTCCGTTGTGCGGCGCATTCTGTCAGCCACTGTGCCCCTCACCAAACACATTCTTCTTCTCAGCTCCTCCATTTCCCCACACTCCGCCAATGTCATCTCCAATGTCTCACCCGATCACACTGCCTCATTCATCCTCTTCACCGTCACCAACATCAATCTCACTACATCTCGGTCAGTCGCTCGCTCGCTCACCCACCCATTCACACACACACACGGAACTCTCGAGTCCTCGAGTAGGCACACTGTCTGTTCCCGCCGCATCCAATCTCTTGACAGACAGACACAAATTAACAATTGTGATCAGATCGATCACATAGTCAGTCCATGTGAGTAGTCATCCATGTGGATAGGAGTGATGTGGTGGTCTGATCGATGAGTTAGTTGTCAGTGAAGATGGGCGACCTTGCTCTCACACTGTTCGACACTGCTCGTGAGGACAGCCGATCCAACAACAGTGACAATAACAAACAATACCGGCCGGTACTAATGCAAATACGGTTGGTGTGATGAAATGTGGTCGTGGGGGATATGTGGTTTATACAGAGCCACGTTTGTAGTTGTCAAATTCCAGCTACTGAGATTTTATTTCACATTTGCATCTTTGTGTTAATGCAGTATGACAACTTGTTCTTATATAATTATGTATAAATCTCCACGTTGTAATTGATTGACTGACTACTTCTGTAACTGAAATATAAACTCTCATTTGCGTTTCTTTATTACCATCATCGAATGAAGCGATTTCTTTTATGTTTAATAGATTTTCTGTAAACCATTACAATATCGTACCTCTTGGAATCAATCTTAAATCCGTATCGTCTTTCAACATTCTTCCACAGACTCTTATCATATATTACAACATAATAATGAAATCACATAATATTAAGTGTGTAAATAATTATATAATAGGTGAGAAACGACAAACAAGTTCATGATGTGAATAGATCAATAGAGTCATTTACTAAGCCTGATGATTATATGGAAGAGACAGGGCTCTCACGAATTTCTTATGAACGCAGAAACTATGGTTATAGGTTCAAATTCCCAAGGTATCTTCTGTTTTTTGGGAGATAGTAGTTAACTTCCCTGACAAATCATCAAACTATACGGTAAGTCACTAGAAATGGTATGGTTTCCTCTAACAAATGACTACTGTCAACTAGGTGTATGAAGGTGGAGATACATACTGTCTTTGGCCCCTCCAAAGACCATCTAGAAAATATCAAATCTCAAGGACTCTAAATAGGCTTGTCAAAACAGGACAAATATCAAAACAAGATCAATGGAGAATGAAATCCAATGGACCAACAATTCCACGATTCTACGGTAGGCCAAAACTCCACAAACCTAACATCCCACTACGTCCTATTGTATCCCTCCTCGGAACCCCGACCTACAACTTATCAAGAGAGATCTCAAGGATATTAAAACATCTGGTGGATGAATCCAACTACTCCATTAAGTCTGCCACAGAATTCTTGGATAAACTCAAGAGGATTCAAATTGACAACGACGAAATGATGATATCCTTCGACGTAACAGCCTTATTTACCTCAATAGAACCAAGCTTAGCCAAAGAAACTCTTTCTCTGCTCCTCACCAACGACACAAATCTACACAAATATACAAAGCTTCAGAGTCAAAGTTTGCTTGAACTCATCGACCTATGCTTAACAACATATCTTCAGTTCAACAACAGAGTCTACGAACAAATAAAAGGAACACCAATGGGATCACCAATATCAGGACTCATCGCCGAAGCGGTAATGCAGAGACTGGAAGCGTCGATTCTGCCAGTGATCAAGCCAAAAATGTGGGTTCGCTATGTAGACGACACATTCGTTATTATCAAAAGGAATGAGCTGGAGAACATCTACAATCAGATCAACAACGTCTTTGATGACATCAAATTCACGATGGAAAAGGAATCAAACAACAGCCTATCATTCCTGGATGTACTAATCACCAGAACTAACACAGGAAAACTAGAAACTCAAGTATTTCGGAAGCCAACCCACACCCAAGTAATTCTCAACTATGACAGCATCAACCCAAGAACCCACAAGATTAACTGCATACAAACTCTGTTCAAGAGAGCAAAGAAACATTTCAGCACGTACGAAACAATAAAAAACGAGGAAAAACATCTGATGACTATCTTCCAAAAGAACGGCTATCCACGCAACTTCATCAAAAAACATCAACCAAAACTATCATCAGGAGTGAAATCAAGCACAGGAACAAATAAACGCATCATCCTACCATACATCAAAGACATATCAGAGCATACGGCACGACTACTGAAACCATTTGGAATAGGTGTGGCACACAAACCAACGGAATCACTTCAGTCAATCCTATGTAGACCAAAGGACAAAATGACAAAGGAAGAAAAACCAAATATCATCTACAAAATAAATTGCTCAAACTGTGAAAAACACTACATAGGACAAAGTGGACGACCTCTTCAGCTCCGTTTACGTGAACGTCAATTAGCAGTCAAACGCCACGACAACGCTTCGCTTATATCAATACACACCGACAATTATGGACACACATTTGATTGGAACAGCGTGGAAATACTAGGTAGGGGGAGGACAAAGAACACTAGAGAATTTTTAGAAACTTGGCACTCAGGTCAATTAGCAATCAACAAACACATCGACATTGACCCAATTTATCAACCAATCAGGAAAATCATAGGTGACACTAGATCAAGAAACAGATCAAAAGAGGGAGGCAATCAAAACATAGTTGCAAACAACGACAGGTCAAAGGTCAACAACAACCAATCAAGATCGAGGTTAGCAGAACAAGCTACAGGTCAAACGTGGAGAAATTCTAATGCTTCACTTCTATCTGAAGTTCGTGCTGATGATGTTGTTCAGAAGAACAATGAAAGCTCCACAACCAAAACAACCAGCTCAGAGAACAAAACACCACCACAAAATATCTGCTCATTCGCTAGTTAGGTTGGCCGGTAGGACAACTGTAGCATCTCACTATTCATTCGTTGTACTTCAATGACTATTCATTTAAATTAGTCCATAAATGTTTCGACCATTTTTTATATTTGTAATAATTCGATTACGGTATTGATTATTGTATATTTGACTGTATATCAGTGTTTACTCGCTTATCACATACCTTACTTATACTTAGTTATTGCTTCGACGCTGGAAAGTTGACTCGCTCGGCTTCTCCAACTCGCTAGTGCACTTTCCATTCACAAGTCCGTCTGCATAAATGAATGCATGAAATAGATTAATCATCAACACCGTAAATGGCTTCTTACTACCATTGTCGCATGAAGGTTGTTTGCCTATGTATGATATACGGGAATGGAAAGGACGATTCATTTCATTGCATACTCGATCATTCGTCCACAGTGGAGTCCAGTCATGAGCCGCTAAACATCCGTTATGGTTACATTCGTAGGAGCGACCAAACTTGTAGACACATACCGAGGAGGCAAACTCACTTAAATTACCCTTTGTCTGAGTGTATTTCACTGGTTTACTAGATGGTAATGTAAGACTAGTTGTGTAGAATGTCTTATTAGTTGCTCTTGCATCGGTATGTAAAAATAACAATTACACTTAGAAAACTGTTACCAGAATGTTCACCTATGGAAAAATTATAGTTTATTTGATTGGTTGAACACATCTGACAACCTGCGGTACAATGCGTGAAGACCACGGTCTCATCAACAGAATTCGCTATACAACCAAACTCCTGCAGATGCCAGTTCTTACCGAACTAGCCAACTCGATTTGAACAACAACACCGTATTCATACTGTGAAATGCTATCTGAAGAAAGTGGCTGTATGTTGGTTCAACCATTGCCATCAATACAACAGTACTTGTAAAGCATACTCGCAAGTGCTTTAGAACTGTTATAATTGCAGTATAAAGAGGTTGAGATATTCAATGCAAGTGTAGGTTTCCTGAGTCTTAGAAAGAAGAAAGGACGTATGATTATAACTTGCAGGCATTTTGTGCTTTGATAATAGAGTAATTATTCCCCCCAAATCGCAGATACACAGTTACAGATGATCTTCACTCCGCCCCATCTTGTAGAACAGAAAACTAAATCACTCGCTTTTTAGACCTGTAAGTAGTATAAGATTGAGGCTGATGTTAATCTGAAATCGAAAATTTGTCCTGCTTGTTAACATGTAGTGCCTCCACATATATTCCAGTTCTCTTACATCTAACTTGGTTAAGCCCTTTCGATTAATTTATTTAACCAAGCCATTTGTATAGCAACAATTCATATGTACCATTGGTATTTTTTATTATCTGCTTTGTATGAGCTTGTACGACTGAGCATTGCTTACGCTTACGCACTTACTCATCCTTTTCACTTTAATGTTAATCTCGTAATATTCCCATGAACTCACATGATTTGTATCACTTGTCATTTGACCTTGTCAATCATTCGTCGCTTTCATTCATGTCTGGCATACCTATTTCGCTTGTCATGTCTGTCTTCTTTTTATCTGACTATATATTCTTAGTCATGTTCTATCTCTTTGAGTTGCCTCACAGCCTTCTCCTATTCGCTTCACTCATTCGCTTGCATTGTTATCCAAAGAGTTGGCTCTTAGCCTTCTCAAATTAGCTTCTCCGATTCGCATTGTGGTGTGCCTCGAATAAACGTATATGATACTTAGAATTCATGTTCTGATTTATAAACCGAGCTTAAGAACACGCAGTTATCGGCACACTACAAACACCAGCTATTACACTATAAACCTGTATGGAATCCTTGGCCTGAATCTTCTTAATCATGGCAACGTATTCGTACTGATTACAATGGACCATTTCTAAACTCAAATTATTCTCAGTGGCCAGAAGTAGTACTTACAAAGAGTCCTAGTAGAAAAGTTTCTTGCAGAGAACAGGTGAAGATATTTATTCAAGAACGGATACCCAATGCATTAGTAACCGATAATGGTACTCATGTTTTACAGAAAACCAGTTCAACACCTGGCTTGATGATATTGGATCTCTTCATCTTTCTAAAGCTCCACGACATCCTCAGTCTAATGAAGTAGCAGAAACAGTCATTCAAGCTATCGCATCAGTGAATCGAAGTAATCTGGAATGACTAAAAAATGCGCTGACAGGGTCTAACTTCAACACCGTATTTCAGAACATTCAAAAACTACTGGAAGTCCAAAAAAACTCCTCAGATCTCGGATACTACAAACTCATTCAGTGAATAAAACATCATCTGGAGTACGATTTTACCGAGTAATTGGTTATCGACCATCTACGAGAATCACAATTCGGAGGATGGTAAAGATAATTGATTTCAGTGACTATTCAGTGACATATCAAGTGAAAATAAATGAAGTAGGTGATTCTAATTTTATTTCTGACCACTCCGTGACGAGTGGTAATTTTGTCGATAACTAAGCCGCACTGAGATATAGCCCCAGTTTTAATTCTGGTGATACCCTTCCTAATAATGAACTTACATATAATCCTTAATATCACGTAGGTGAGGAAAATGGAAATCGGAATATTAAATAATTGGAATAATCTATCGGAACTGCAGAAAAACCTGGACCATATTATAGACACCTATCCAAACATCCAGCGTGAGCCCGCTTTGATGAATGGTTTGTTGTACAATTTGGTATTTTATGTTGTTTTTGAATCTGGTGTTATAGTACAATGCAAATTCATACTGTGTGCTTCCAATCCGAAGTTCTTTCTTGTGCGTTATTCAAATTCCAGTGGACCGATGATTATCCGTACTGCGTCAGGTTATTGCAAATTCACAGAAACACTTCAAAGTACATCGGAGATGCAGCCAATTTGTGCTGTGACAACGTATTTCGGTCACCGGGAAATTGTTTGCATTTCTTCTCAAAGAAGACTGATCTCACTGATCTAATAATGGCATACAACATATCAGGTAAGCCGAATCATCTCAGCACAATCATTTTGCTAAAACACCATCAACATGATGTTTTTTTTCTTTTTCTGTCTCTCTTTTCTCCTTTTCAGAACCCCATTCATGGTTGGAAATCCTTGGCTACTCTAGGGAACATGTACCCTATGTGCATGACTGTCTGAGTCACAACTCGTATCAAGCGCTTTCTATTTGACCTTTCCCAACAAATTCACTATTGATCTCGGCGAATCGCCAAAAGAACCTACTGTGCACCTTCCTTATTTGTACTCTACTATTGAAAATGTCGCTGTATTATACTGTTTCTGTCCGTGAAAGGGTGTAAATATGCTATCAGAAACTGACTATTATACTTAATTTAACTGACATAACTTTTACAGTAATTGTGAAAGCGTTTGTGACAATTTGATCTAGCCTGTAAACTGGCGTGACTTTGTAACGTAGTTATTTGAGAAAAAATATATATTATTATATTATGACCCTCGACGTAAATTTCAAAAACTTACAAATCAAAGGGAGAATAAACATGTTGGTGCACACTCTGTCTCATTAAAAGTTGTTGTAACTTGGAATGCTCGCTCAGCTGAAGTGTCCACAGCCCTCTTAATGGATAGCTTCACGAAGAGATTTGATTTTCACGTACTCACATACGAATTGTTACCTCAAGCTTCGACAGGCTATGCCCGATGCATGTCTTGAAACTTGCAAGTTGTCGTCGCTGTCATTCCCTCAGATCATTGACTTACACAATCTGGCTTATTATCCCTGTTCCCTGTTATTTTCTTACACTTCTGTCCTCTCACACATTCTCCGCTTACCTGGGACCGTAATGGAAGAAAAAGAATCGAGCGCAAAGAAATAAACTGGTTATTGGATAGTGGAACCAATTACTTCATTCACTTAGTTTCTTAGTTCCTAAAAAATTCCTCTAAACATTAGTAGAAGAATTTTCCTTCTCTTGTTCTCCACCTTGCAACGAACTGACCTCTGGCCCAATAATTTTATAGCTGCTAGCATCTAGAAACTGAAATGCCCTGAAACAGACTCACTCATTCAAATCACGGAACACAAATGAATGAAGAACTGCCAACTGACCAGAATTAGTGCAGTCGACTGACAAGACTAGAACCCTTTAGACATTAACAAATACTTTGGACTCAACCGAAAAACAAAAATCGAGCTCAAAGAAATCAAATTCTTTACACTAGCTTGTGAAAAATATACCGGATAAAAGGTATTTGACAGATATTGGATGTTCCTCTCCCTTGCTTACACTTCGGTCCTCTCTCACAATCTTCACTACCAATTAATAAACTAAATTCATCTATATATTACTCAGTTCTGAAATTTTACTCATATTATCATTTTAATTTACCCTTATTACCCTTATTACTCTCCACATTGCAACTAACTGATCTCCGGTTTGGTAAAGTGACGGCTGCTAGTATCCAGAAACCCTACTGCCCTGAAACAAACGTTTCATTCAAATCCCGAGACATACAAACTCACAACCAACTGCCAACTGACTAGAATTAGACAGTCGAGTGGCTAGACCTCCATCCATTGGACATTACCGAACACCTGGAACCGTACCGAAAGAACAAGAATCGAGCGCGAAGAAATCAAATTGGTTTACACTAGCTCGTGAAAAAGATATTGGATGTTGGCAGAACCGGCGTGGAAATTTGAATATTGACCTTCAGGTCACATTTTGGGTGTCGGTAGGCAGATTAGTTTCTCTTGCATGTTATGTTCATTATTTGATATGTTTTTAAAAGCACTCGGAATTCTTCTCATCTTGCCACTTAATAACCTTTTCAGGGTGGTGCGTTTTTCTTGATATGATGTTATGTCGAAATAATTGCAGAATCGATTTTTGATAATTATTTGCATTTAGGGATAAAAAAGTTTTTGATTATTCCTTTCGACTAGATATAAAGTAACTTCTTATATTTTCAGCAGTCTTTATATCTGTGCTTCCAGCTGGATGTATGTTGTAGTAGCTAGTTTCTTGTTTAGTTTTTACTGCATCATTGGTAAGCGCTTACCGTAATAAAGGCTCAGCTTCTCACATGAATTTCTCTTAAGGAATGAGACCGTTTGTAAGCGGAACAGTGATATATGTCTTTAGTTCTTTCCTGGACTCAATATACAATCCTGCTAGGTTATTCAACGTAATTGATTGTGACCATTTTGGTCTCGTGTGGTGTTATTACGGATATGAGGAACCTGAAAACGATATTAGGTTAGCATTGGTCTGAGCGACCTAGGAGCGTGGCCGTAGAGCCCAAGAGACCTGCTTGAGGCCGGACACGCATGGCCTTTTGAGAATGCAGCATCGCTGCAGATGCTGGTTGTCTGAGGGAAACGAATTAATGCTGTCACACTCATCTAGCGTCAGCAGTACGACTTCGCCCTCAGACCTTGAGTGGCTGCTTTTAGTCTCATCGTTCTCCAATCGACCTGCCTGGCATGGTAGAACGAACCTACAGAAACATATCTTCCAACCAATATAGCCTGGTTGTGTGGTCACGATAGGCAAGCCCGACCACCACGTCAAGGTAGCACCGATGGTCTTTATACTAAGGCGGTATGGAAACCTGAAGTGATGTACGTATGTACGAAGTTCTAAGTTGTAACTGACTGACTGACTTCAAAGTGATATGCTCCCTCAAAAACTCAAAGTAGTCTATTATTCAGAGCTGAGGCTTATCAATTACAGCCTTCGGCTAGTGAATCTAAGGTTCCGGTTGTCTGAATGGTCAGGTGCTTTTTATTAGCCTCATTTATAACCCAAAGATTGGTACTTAAGCTTGTAACAAGTAAAAGATTTACATTATTATTATCGCTCCATAACACCAGAAAATTCTATTTTCCCTCGTCGAATTGAAGGTCTTAATAATTACCTGCGGAGTTTAGTTTAAACGGTCAGTTAGCATAAAAATTGAGGATAAAAACAGCGTCTAAAGCTTTACTTAGTTAGATTAATTGTTTAAAGTGTGTGTGAGCTGGAAGTTAATTAGCGTGTATAATTGCAAAAATAGTTATGTAATATATTTCCATTAGTTTTCTGTTTAGTTAATCTTTTACTTCACTTTTGAAGATGGGAAAGAAGCACACTTTCAGTTATTCTCGAAATCGAAAGCGATTAGGCAAAAAGCAAAAGGCCAAATTAAAAATTAGAAAGTAAGTCATTTTGTTGTATAAATGAGTTCAATTCCATTATACACTTTTATAACTTACACCTACTTATAATGAATGCTTGGTTAATGAATCAGTTAGATGTAATTGGCAAATTACTTAAATACATTAGTAATGTTTTTATCTTCCCCCCTAATCTTTGGAAATAATTTATGTAAACTAAGTATACCACTCACCAGTATGAATTTTTACAATCTTTTCAACAAATTTTGAATAGCTATTATTTTATGTATTCTAAACAAGAAGCGGTAATTGTCTTGTGGGGGCGGCTAGACCAAAATATGACACAAATCCATGAAGTCACTGACAAGTGGACTGAGTCATGTTGGTAGATGTAGACTACTTGGTTGGGGTCCGCGATATGGCAGTAATCTATGGTTAGAGACACTGAATGACATGGCTCAAAACCGTTTACAATGACGCAGGTGCATTCATTCTATGTGCTCTCTGTCAAATCCTAATCTTCTGGATTCCTTAACACCTCTACTTTTGTCTTTCTAAACTTATCTCACTGAATTATACTTCTTGAATAATATCCTCTAATCCTAACCTCTCCGACTACTGCTAACACCTTTACTACGTCTACTACTACTACTATGGGATTCGAATTGACAATTACACCTCTGTGCTAATGTAGTATGGCAACATGAACTGACGTACGTACGTACAAAGTTCTACGTTGCATCTAACTGACTTATAACATTTGATGGAACTTATATCTATCTTTCACTTTTCCTATCCTTTGTACAATATACATCTGATCATTGAGACGGTTTTAGTTTAATAAGTTAATTCAGCCTACTTATCATTCTTAAAATCCATTGAAAAATTATCAGGATTGATCTTTTAACTATAAGTACAATCATAATAATAATATTTCACAAAGTTTACATACTTACTTCTGCTTTTCGAACTAATAATGTTTATTATTTGTTAAATACCAACTTTTTTTACAAATAAATTAATATACTTATTTAATTATTGTTTTAATTTATCAGTCCAATTATTGATTCCGCTTGGAAGTATGGATTATCAGTGAAATCAAATTTTCATCGTTTGGGTTTAGCATACGATGCAAATGAAGTACTTGGCATTCATGATGATCAGGTAGTAAGTAGTATTATCAAAATCAACTAATTAGTTTGCTTGTCTGTTTTTTCTTAACTCATTGTAGATTTCAACAGATAATAATCAGTATGCTGATAAGGATGCAGTGACACAAAGCACAATACGACCAAAGAAAAAAACGAATGTTGTGAAAGGTGAGATTATTCATTGTTTTATAGACCATATCTTCACACTACGACAGGTCCTGGTGGAACACAGACACACATTTAGACGTCCGACAATAGTCGTGTTCCTGAACCTAAAATCGGCATTTGACTCAGTGGATTTTGAGGTTCTGTGGCAGTGTCTGTCATTGAAAGGTGTACCAAATAAGTACATTAACCTCATAAAAGCTCTCTACTCGAACACCACTGGTCGAGTGAGAGCTTATGGCGAACTGTCATCTGGATTCTCTACATCAAGTGGTGTCCGTCAGGGCTGTCTACTCTCTCCATTCTTGTTTAACTTTGTCGTAGACATCCTCTTAGAGTTAACATTAAGCTCGTCAGATTTTTCAGGGGTTGACCTTCTTCCAGGAAAATCGCTTACTGATCTAGAATATGCCGATGACATAGTTCTAATCGGTGAAGACGCTGACAAAATGCAGAGTCTTCTGACTACCATAAGCAACAATGCGAGCATGTTCGGGATGCGGTTCTCACCCTCGAAATGCAAAATGTTGCTTCAAGATTGGGCTTCATCGGTACCTGAACTAGTGATAGGGAGTGAAGTAGTCGAACGTGTAGACCGCTTCACTTATCTTGGGAATCTCATCAGTGCTGATGGCCTGGTGACTGACGAAGTGTCAGCACGGATACAGAAAGCTCGACTGGGCTTTGCCAACTTACGTCACTTATGGCACAGGCGAGATATCCGTTCGCCAACCAAAGGACGAGTGTACTGCGCAGTAGTTCGCTCCGACTTACTTTATGTCAGTGAAACATGGCCGTTTAGAGTAGAAGATGTTCGTAGGTTACTAGTCTTCGATCATAGGTGTCTTCGAAGCATTGCTCGTATATCCTGGGACAACCGAGTAAGCAATGTTGTCGTTAGGAAACGAGTACTAGGTAAGGATGGCAGGTCAATAGATGAAGTATTGAAACTTCATCAGTTGAGGTGGTTGGGTCATGTGTTACGTATGCCTAACAATAGTCTGCCTCGACGAGCTATGTTTTGTGGTGTAGGAGTAGGTTGGAAGAAAGTTAGGGGCGGCTAGACCAAAACATGGCACAAATCCATGAAGTCATTGACAAGTAGACTGAGTCATGTGAGTAGTTGTCGACTACCTGGTCGGAGTCCGCGAGACGAAAGTAACCGATGATTAGAGACCTTGAACGACATTGCTCAAAACCATTTGCAATGGTGCAAGTGCATCCATTCGTTGGGTGAGCTCTCTCAAATCCTAATCTTCTGGATTCGTCAGCACCTCTACTGAATTATACTTCTTGAATAATATCTTCGAACCCTAGTCTTCTTCATAACCATTAATACCTCTACTATCTCTACTATCACTCTTGGATTTGATTTGACATTTGCATCTCTGTGTGCTAATACTGTGGTATGGCAACATGAACTGATGTACATAGACGTACGAAGTTCTTACGTTGCAACTAACTAACTAACTAACTATTCATTGTCTATTCTCTAATATACTCTCTCTATATTACTGAATTATAGCTCTAGAAGAATTAACCAAACAGAAAAAACAGAAACCTGTATTTGTATCCGGTGATGATCAATTATTTTGTATATACAATTTAGAAATGTATGCTGAAAATGATTTTGAAGTAAGTTAGTGAGCTTCTTGAATAGTTAACCCTCTCTCTCTGTTATAGTCTATGAGTAGAGATCCAAAAAATGTTTATCAATTAACTGCAAAACAAATTGAACGATTAATCAATAAATTTAAACAAACTACCGGTTTTCAAAAATATCTCAAAGATAAGCAATCAGGAGAGTTAGTAGTTGATGAATTGTTTAATAATGAAGAACTAATGTAAATTTATCTATTTTTGTAAAAAAAAGGAAATATAATAAATATGAATAATATATTATCGATTTTGTTTATTTGCGAGACTTAAGCGAAGTATTGTATGCTTCAATTATACAAATAGACAAGTTGTATTATGAGGTTGTAGAGATTGTTGAGTTGCTCTTTTTGAAATCACAAAATCAATCAATGTTGTTAGACCACACCATTAGAAGAAACCTGAAAGCACTGAAGGACAACCGTTTCCTCTAGGTATGGATGGGACTTATCAGCAATGCGTATCCACAACTCCTGCACCTCATAGGATTCGACCCAAGGAGCAATCAAGATCGAAGTTAGCAGAACAAGCTACAGGTCAAACGTGGAGAAATTCTAATGCTTCACTTCTATCTGAAGTTCGTGCTGATGATGTTGTTCAGAAGAACAATGAAAGCTCCACAACCAGAACAACCAGCTCAGAGAACGAAACACCACCACAATAAAAATGTTTCCCTGAGTAATAGCTAACTTTAGAATAGTATTTCTGAATTACTAATAGGAATTATTAAGCCGAAAATGTTGTATGGCTGTCAATGGTTTTGACTCAAAATGTTATTGGATTACATCTTTCTGAACTGAGTTAAAAGATAATTGTCTGCATGTCCTTAAAATAGGTTTGACGAAACTCATTAGTAAAGGTATATCAATATCATTTACGATATTCATAATTTCCAAGCGTGGGATCACTTCCAAGATAGCCACTGAAAACATTACAACTAACAGTTCTAGTAAAAATAAACTGTTTAGAACCGGTACAATATTCCCCTATCTGTCATTTGAAGCATTTTCTTCTAGAGCTAGTCCGAGAAGCGAGGAGTATGAATCCATTGAGAAAAAATATATATATATATATATTCAGCTTGATTTCCCAAACATTTTGTCGATAAGAATGTCAGTGGAGATGACAAAATAATAAATAAGTTTTCTAATTTGACTTTTGTAAATCATGATGAACATTTACCTTCATAATTTTTACAAATACATTTTCGACGATGTTCTCTTGGTAGATTTTTACAACGTGTATTCTTAGGACAAGGATGTATTTGACAATAGTCAATAATGTCACAATTAACACCTTGTCTACCTGAAATAAACATAACACTATGACTAATATTAAAATCAACTGGTAAAACAAATAACATTAGACTTAAGGAAGAACATTTTTGGAATTCTTCTTATTGATAAACTGTTTTCAATAAGAATATAATCAAGCAACTCAGTCTATGAAAAAACACTGTGTTCACAGATAGCTAGCTACCTTTCTAAGATCAAGAGATAAGTTTAAAACTCACATATAGTTTGATGTGAACTTTTAAATTCAAAGCTGATTACTTGCATGGTAAAATGTAAAGTAAGCAAACAGAAGATTTGTACTTCAGATAGAAGATGACAATTATTGAAACCTATGATCTATGCACACCCCAGAACATAATTTAATAAACTAACTCTATCAGCAGATCGTTTAACTTTTAGAAATTTCGATAAATATAGTTATTAATTAATAAACCATAGACTAGATTGTATATCTCGTTGTCATAGGAAAGAGAAATTAGAAATAGTTTACAGATCAGTTTATTAGACATTTAGTCTAACGACTAAAATGTTATGGTTTATGAAATACTCTTGATTGGTTTGACCGAATGACTGATGTATAAAATATATCTTTGTCTGTAACTTCATTTGATTTGAAAGATATGAATTATGTGGTTTCAAAGTTTTAAAACATGAATATCAGTATTATTTCTAATTACTATTAAGTGAAGATAAAATTTTCAAATGTATGACTGTTCAATAAAAGTGTTCTGTTTGTATCTCTTTCATTTTTCTCTTTGTTGACTTTGTTATGTTCGTCACTAGGTATGCTTGAAGCTATTATGAGTTCACCTTAGTCGATAAACGCGAACGAGACAATTATCAGCGTCCAGATAGGCTACCTTGAATCCCAAGCTGTAAACAGAAGTCTTTGTAAGCGTAGAAAGTATGTTCTACAAACACCCAGCAATCACAATACAATCAAGCACACAACTCTCGTTTATTTATACATCATAGAAACGTCCTCGGGACAGTTATGAAAATAGCATACTAAACTACACAGCAGCCAATCACAGCCATGGATTTTCCTGGTGGGAAATGAAATCTCAAGGTCAACTGATCAGCCCATGCTGGCAAACGTGAAATCCAAAATAAGGCATTTATCAAGCGAGTTCTGGGGATCTGACATCCCTAACACTATTTTTTGGCATATTGTATCAAGCCAAAAGCTGACTTCGTTACTAACTAACTCTTTACACGAGCTTGTAGAATTCAGCTTATTTGTCATTGTAAATATTAATGTTTACAACAATTATTTTCAATCTGTATGCGTTCTTGGAAGTTCTGATTAGAACTCGAGTCCCGAAGTGAATTTCAACCCTGGATACATCCAGCTGATCAGTTACAAATAGGATAAAACGTGCGTCCTGGATTCCACTTACAGTGACTCCACTTTTATGAAGAGAACGCGATTGATTTAATAGAAACATTCATTATTATAACCAATTGTACCAGTGATTGTTTTACTACACTCTTTGTTTATTCGTAACCTGTAAGCGCAAACTTTCCATTTGTGTTGGTGACATTTCGGTTATACTGTTCGTTGTAACTTCACCCCTTCTTCTCTGGCACAATTTCGGTATTCCTTCGATACCACAAAATCGCCAGCAAATATATTCCCTTGTCTAGAATAACTCGTCTTCTCTGTCTTTAATTCACGGAGATATTACAATCAGTGACGGGAATGTAATTTGACTTTAGTGGTGTCCACAGTCAATCACGACACGCGCTGTTACACACTGCCAGCCACCATTCATATCTGTTAATAAAGTTTGTATTTCTACGGTGACCGTTTTGATTTCTATCTGTTATTGTCAAATTATTAACAAATACTCTATCACAGGTTTTGTAATGATATGACAACTTCATGATGTGAATAACACCTTCAAAATCTCACGAACTGAGGTTTTTGTTCATTTGCATATACATGTACAATAATGATACCATATTCTAATCAATTACCACGTTTGAATTTTGTAAACTTAACATGTATTACAGTTGTTTGATCAAAACTTCAAAATTAATTATTAAACAAAGACGACATAAAGTTTTTTAGTGAAAATCTTTAGTAAATTTAAAAAAAAATTTCAAACCAAAAATAAAGAAGAATATCTTTAAAAAAACTTTTACCATGTAAACAAATTTTTCGTCCATTCGCATCACACTCGTATGCCCATGGATGAGGTGAACAAAATAGGTCACATCTGTTCCCGTAAAAATTTGAATTACATGTTAGTTTTACCGACGAGCTAAGTCTTCAAAAAGACAGAAAGTTAATATTGAAATTAGTTCTATTGGAAGAAAATGCTGGATGAGTTTTGAAACTTGAAATCAAGTTTTAAAAAATATAGTTAGTGGAATAGAACTCATACTGTTGAGTAGTATTGTGGTGTGTGCTACTTATACGAACGATATAAGTAGTATAAGAAGGGACGTGAAAGAAGAAGCCTCACGGTCAGAAGAGGAAAACGGAAATCAAATGGAGCAAAAGCAAGAAGTAACTGGATTACCAACAGGAAGTAAAGGAAGCATCAGCATGAATGGAAGAAGGCTGAAGCGTTGGAAGTCAGGACTCAAAGATGGTGTGCAAATAGAGTGTTAAATGTAATGTTTTCGTTTTTAATTGACCAAGAGTGCAAATTGGCAAAATACGATCGTCCGCGCCTGCCTCAGTCTTCTCAGTATGGTGAAACACGTTGTGTAGTTTGTAAATGTCGCTATTTTACTCAATATTGTAAAACTAATAATCCTGTAAAATTATTTTCGTGAAGATAATTCCTAATAAACACATTATTATTATTATTCGTTTGGAAAGTTTGTTATAAGTATTAAATTATTGAAAGTTTGTGAATAATTTAGCTGCTACAGGATTAGATTGAATACAAACATATACAAGTGTGATAACAGTTGAAAATTTTCTTAAGTTTCATTTTAAGTGTTGAAGATGTACACCGGAAACTACTGCTTTTTTCACATGAATACTCAACTCAAATATAAGTTCCACGAAGTTCAGGGCGGCTAAAATTCTGATGCAATCAGAGAATTAAGTGTTACAGGGACATAGATGAATTAAAGCATGACCACGTTGCTGCGCGCTGATTGGCTAATTTCTTATCCAATCAGAGCCTGATCGACTCTTGGAGAACAGGGTAGAAGATTCTCTTATTGTTAGCTGCGTGCTGATTGGTTAAATCTAATCGAGTCGATCATGTGAATTTCTATTGGAAGCTCCTCATGTAAATGCTATAAAGAAACTAACGTTGTATCTATTTTTGGCCTTGGCCTTCGCCTTCTCCATCACCTTTGGCTTCTTATTACATTTAACCTTGCTATTTGGAATATAATCTTTTCCTGTTCCACCGTGTTTTTGATTCTTTGGAACTTGTCCAGTGTATTGTGGTCAGAGAATACTAAGCAATAGGATTTAGCTGGGAATTATTTAAGCAAGCATTACAACATTTAGATTTCTGCTGTTTAAATATGTTAGATGATGTTAAAAGAAAGCCAGATGATGATTATGGTTTTAAGGTGATATTTCAGGTAGATGTCACAAGAAGTTCATGTAAAAAATAAAGTACAAATCTGTTTGATTTTTGACTCATTAATTGATCACCTATAGATGCAGACTGTGTAGATTACAGATTAGCTAGTTTACTTATAAAAAAATATTCCATTTTGTAATATTATAAATAAACATAACTCTTAGATAGCTGTTAGGTGATTAGTAAATATTCTATAGCAAGTTAGAAATCGTCTCAGTAGCCACTATCAGCTTATTTCGAAATAGAAAGGTGTCATTTGAACGTGTTTCATTTTCTTTAAGTTTTGTTGATTTCATGGAGTTAGTTTTCTTTAATTGTAACAGCACTAAAAATAACAACCTCCAAAATTGTGATTCAAAAATACTACCTGAAGGAAAAAGCTTTATGTGACATTTTCAACTATAGAATTTCGATGTAATGTTGGGCAGTGCTTACAAGCGAACGATGTTTGAATAGAATCGTCACCTAACTTTCTTTTAGTCAACTATTTCATGTTACATGTTACACTAGACAGTTATGTAAAGGTGAATGCAATGCATTCAACAGCTTCTGATCTGAACATCTTTTAAATGATGATTAACTTCTCCATGAAAAACTCTATTGAAAACTATCTTCACAATTGAATGAAGTAGTGTCTTAATTGTTTTAATTGTCAGAAATTGATGCAAAGTACAGATTTTTTTAAACCTAACAATTCAAACTTATTAGTTGGGCAGTTATTTTCCACACTGCTTATCTATATGTTATTCTTACTTTACTAGTGTTAACCTTTATCTGTTAAATCACTTCTGTTCAGTACTTTTGTCTGTTTTATTGTAGAATGTTATATATAGGTAAGGCTACATTCAACAATATAGTTTCAACAAACAACTTAGCTGGGAGCTCGTTATTTAGCTTGATATAAATTATTATGAAAAAAAAATGCTAACCTACCTGAAAGAATCACTTTCATGGCTATAATTTAATGGGATTTCTTGAAATAAACTGGTTTTATTCAGCCGAAACAGTCCAATTGCCTTGATAATAAGATCATGTTCACCCAAAGCATCTTCATCGTAGGCATAAATTTGTAAACGATATTTTTCCTATGAAATGAACATGATTATATTATTTTTATTATATAATGAAGGCTATTCTATCATATAATTAGTTAAATATTCATTTGTGCAGAAAATTGCCTGATTCTTACTATTTGCAAGATAATGGCCCACCACATGCTCAGTTGTGTAGGTTATTTAGAGCGATCGGAAGAAGTAAGAAAGGTTTCTTGGATTTAGTTTTTGGGCTGACTGACATTTGAGAGTACAGTTTACATACAGAAGTGCGGCAACTGATATTCTTTGTGGGTCACGAACTCGTCACCTAGATGATCAGAATGTGCTGTTATCAGTGAGATATTCGGGTAAAGGATGACCTATTGTTCCATACTCACCGGCCCGTGTTTTGAAATTATTCAGAAATTCCATCATGAATCAATTCGGTCATCAGTATGGCGTCCAACCACCACCTACATTTTATACAAGTGATGTGAATTCATTTGGAAACGCTGTTCAAAGACCTGGACCCAGATCCTATAGTTTTGAACTTCCACCCCAGGATTTTCGGTCTACACCTTTTCGAAGTGACAATGGATTTTCGCTTTGTGCCCCCCTGTACTACAACAGAGCTGGCATAATGCCTTCTTCAGATGAAACTTGTGTTAATTTTGTAGAACGACTACCAATAACTGCTGAAGCTACTGAAAATAACGCTGTAGCCCTTGGTTACCAGAATCATTTTGGTTTTCGTGTTCCTCCCGAGATTCCTAATTGGATGAATTTAAGTTCTTCAACTAATACCTTTTACACTGATATTAAAAACCACACCTCACAACCTAATCCAGCACCTAAGGTATTGCATGATCTGTGATTCAGTTTAATGAATTCTGCAAAATGCGTGCTTTAGCATGGTTTCGTAACCTTCCCCTTGATTGGCAGCTCCTGTCTGTTTTCTCTCAGAACAGATTATTGCTGATGGCGTCTAGCCAATGTATCTGGAATATCTTATGTAAACAACCGTTTATAAATGTTTGTACGTTTTGATTATGGATGTCATAGGTCGCCAAATCTCAGCTCTGTACGATAGAACTGTAATGTTACGTTTGTGTTGAAAATGCTGACTTTGACGTTGGCTGTCAGTTTTCTAGAGCTTCAGATACTCTTCAGTTTCAGAAATGTTACCCCTGACTTACCAACTCAAACCCTCATATCTGCATCAGATTTTCTCAGTTTATCAGTCGTGCTACACAGGCATATAAAAGCTTCCACTAATTCCAGAGTTTTTCCATCGAAAGTAGTTTGACTGATGATAGACATTATATTTTAGAATCTTGCTTTTTCCCCTGTAAATTTTTAGGCCCATAACCGAAGAGGCCATTATTTCACAGAGTGTCTTCATCTGCATTTGTTCGTACTTTCGTGATAGTAGGGCTAATCGCAGGTAAAGACCGAACCATTTAGAGCGTCCTCAGCATTTTATGCTATTCCTGAGACTTAGAGTTATTCACCATCCAGTCAATAGCCAGAAGAAAGTGAACAAGCTTGCCTGACATTAATTTTTGTATGGACTGCAATTTTGAGTTTCCCTCTGTATATGACTTCACAATTCAGTCCGTTTCTTGGAGTATCACAAGATGGTGATGATCTTTCCAGATTCACTACACTGTCAAAAATTTCACAAGATCCTCCTATCCATTTTTTCAAACGCTCTCTCATAGTCAAGGAATTGGATTTATTGTGATGAGTTACATCCAAATGATCCACAGTCTTGAGATTTGATCAGCACATGGTCGATCCTGACGAAAGTCAGCTCGTTGATCTCGTGGTTGGACGCCTAAAAAATCTTTCACTTCGTTCACCAACACTATCGAACTTTTTTCTTGGTACTGATAGTAAAGTAATGTCTCTGTAGTCCACACACTAGTTAAGATCTGCTTTCTTCGGTATCTTGACGAAGTATCTTTCTTTCCAGTCTGTTGGGACCTGTTCTTTTTCTCAAATCTTGTTGAAGGGAGACTGGAACATCCTTGCAGTTTTATGTCTAATTTCAATGCCTCAGCTGGTATGTTATCTGGCCCTGCTGATTTGTCTGATGGCCAAGCTAACTTCAACAAGCTTTGTTGTATAGTATGGTTGTCTCATGCAGCTTATCTGCTATCATTGTTAGACCTTCTACATATTTTTGCTTATCAACTCTGATGCTCCTCCTCACTTAGTTATTTGCTTCAGTGACTTGTCTTTCTCTGCTCTTGTTCAGCGGATATTAGTTACACAACATCTGACATGTTGGCACTTTTGCTTCTTTGACCCTTAACCGTTACTTTCTATAGTGGTCTTCTCTTAGTCGATTTTTGTAAGGCTTGGAATTTATTGCTGAGAGCTATATTGGACTTGCTGATTCGCCTGGTATCTCGAAGAAATTATTGCTCAACTTTTGTAATGTTGATTGTAAAATTATCCAATGCTTTCTTAGCCTTACTTCAAGCTTCTCCATTATCAGGTGGCGAAATGGAGCTACATCAACTCCTCTCTTTGTTTGCACGTCTTCCGTCGACCTGAATTTCTCATCAATATCCTTCTCTGTGTAATGTTTTGTGAAACCTATTTAGCTTTGTTTAAATGATTTCAGAGAGGGTTGGACAGCTTCTTTTACAATCATGTTGTTGTCAGTCTCTTACCAATCACGTTCCTCTCCTTCAGATTGTCTTCTAATAATACCTTCATACCTTAACGTTTAGGCTTCACAAGAACACGGTTAGGTTTTCTCTTGAACATTAATTTATGATGGACTACAGCACCTCATAAGACTGGTCTTTATCTCTTTCGTCACTATCATCTGTGGATGTATAACACTGTGTGACAGCCATTGTATTCCGTTTGGGCTTTGTTTCAGAGTATACTGTGAGTATACTGTAGTCAAGAGTTTCTCATTTTATAAGCGCTGTTTTTGCTTCTTTCAACAGTATCAGTGTATTTGCTTGTGTGTTGTGGAAATCTTTCCTTCATGACCAAAATGTAATAACAGCTCTTCTGATGCTAGTCTAGTCTTTTACATGTCCAGATTCGATTCGAAGAGGTTCACTTGTTCCAAGCAAGCCCACGTTGTATCCTCCTAGTTCTGTGACTTTTTGAAGATATTCCAAGTCTTCGATGTTGTTTGTACATTCCGCGCCCCATTTATAATTGTTACCCCGGTTATCGTGAGGAATGTGTGGCAATGAATAATTGATGTATTTCCTAAATTTAATTTATTTCTTCTCCTGATAACCCTTATTAGGTGACGTCCAATGGTGTATACAGTTCAAAAGACGGATACGAAATAAAAGCGAAATGATATGAGAATGCCGAAGAATGAATGAATAGAATTAAAATGTTCATGTATATGCATAGGGAAATGAATGAGTCACCGAATTATTCAAGCAACTAACATCAATAGATGCATAGTCTGTAATCCATGCTCAAGCACACATGCTCGTACAGTAGCAAAAATAATAAAATTACAGTGATACAGACAATTTGTCGTTTTTCTTTAATACAGAAAAGAGCTTGACCAAGACATAAACAAACTCAAATATATATTAAGTGCTATAGCAGCATTGGTATCTTACTTACTTACTTACGCCTGTTACCCCCAATGGAGCATAGGCCGCCCACCAGTTTTCGCCAACCAACTCTGTCCTGGGCTTCCCTACCCAGTTATGTCCAATGTTTGTTCATTCCTCTCATATCTTTCTCTATTTCTCAGCGTAATGTGTTCCTTGGTCTTTCTCTTTTCCTTTTCCTTCAAGGTTCCATGCAAGGGCTTGTCTCGTGACGCAGTTAGGTGCTTTCCGCAATGTGTGTCCTATCCACTTCAACCGCTTCTTCCTCATTTCCTCATCCACTGGAATCTGGTTTGTTCTCTCACACAGTTCGTTGTTGCTGATGGTGTCTGGACAACGAATCCGAAGTATTTTGCGTCGACAACTGTTAATAAACACTTGTATCTTCTGGATGATGCCTTTCGTAGTTCTCCATGTTTCCGCTCCATACAGTAGAACTATCTTGACATTTGTATTGAAAATCCTGATTTTGGTTTTGGTTGAAAGTTGTTTCAAGTTCCAGATATCGGTATCTTGCCTTCCGAAAAATATATGTAAGCTTTCATCCAGAGGCATCATAAATCTTCTTGATGAGGATGATTTAACTCCATAAGCAGGAATTAAATAGTCTAAATGTTTTGTTTTGATTAGCATCTTAGTAGTTGTGTTTCATTTTACAACGTTAGTTTGATCATCTTAAACCTTATTATACTTCTCTATTAGGAGGGATTTTGACTCACAATAATCTAAGGGAAATCTAGGCGGCAAAAAGCATTTAAGCCAGAAAAAAAGATGACAACAATGTTTAACCAAACAAATTATAAATTACGAAAAATAATTGTTGTAAACAATTATTTATATAAATTATAAAAATTTTAGCAATTATTACCATAAAATATCCTTTTGAAACTTGTTATCTTATTTCTTAATGTTTTTAAAATGCTTTCAAATCAATCAATTAATTATATGTTTCAAAGTGTAGCATGAAAAGCATGAAATGTTTTTTTTTGGAAAAGAAACTTTTAAATAACTTACAGGTAATCTTCCATTTATTTTTTCAGAAATTTTCATTTGGAATTTTGCGGTGTTCACAACAGTTTCTGTTTTTGTACGAAATAACAGTCTGTTAAAATATAATTGTAAAAATCAATTGTTTATCATATCGTAAATCAAACAGACTATACCTGATTAAATATTTTGCTTAAAATGATAATTGTGTTAATTTTATAATCAAATTATGACATTCATTTTAGGACTGTTTTTAGTTAAGTTTGTCCTTCGATCTTGAATGTGAACGCCCAATCTTAGACCACTTAGCCAGAGGTCCTTGTTTCGGATCCTGCGAGATGCAGAAGTTGTGGATGCGCACTGCTCATGAGCCTCATAACAGGACGAAACGGCCATCCAGTGATTCTATGTTTCTAATGGTAGTCTAACAATGATTAACTGATGATTTCAGTGTATTGAAACCTGTGACTTAACAAATCAAACGGTTTGGTGAACAAGGATGACGTCTTTTTACAGTAAATATTCTTTTTGTAAATTAGATTGAAAAAGTTCATTGTTCAATAATTTAGTTATTTTGTTTACAAAATGAAGAAGTGTATCGTATTTACCAAGTATATATATATATATATATATATATATATATATATATATATATATATATATATATAATAAATATTAATTTTATGATTAATAATCCACTCAATATGATTTTGAGATGGTTGATAAAATTTGTAGCTCAGGTGGATGATTGTGGTGGTATTTCGTTTTCTGAGTTGGATGCTTTGGTTGTGGAGCTTTCGTTGTTCAGCTGAACACCATCATCAGCACAAACTTCAGATAGAAGTGAAACATTCGAATTTCTCCACGTTCGACCTGTAGCTTGTTCTGTTAACCTCGATCTTGATTAGTTGTTGTCGACCTTAAACCTGTCGTTGTTTGCACCTTTGTTTTGATTCTGTTAGGATATTCATCCAATATCCTAAGAGAATTATTGGTCGATTCCTATTGGTTAATTCCTACTGGTCAATTTTATGATCGTCCTAGATATCAATGTCACGTGCTCCAATGTTTTTTCTTATTGGTCATCCTGAATTTCAATGTCACTTCAAATGTTGTTTCTTATTGGTCGTCTTAACTGTCAATGTCACAGACTTCGATGATGTTTCCTATTCAACCTAAATATATAAATATGCATTATCTGTAACGTTCTATCATCAGGGCCTGGTCCCGGATCCCTAGTCCGGGATCCTGATTCTTTTCTGGACTCGGACCTCGTATTCTTTGAATGCTTGTAGAATACAGGTTCTATTTCATATCAAGTCTTCTTATTTTTACTCACTCTGGGGGTTGGGACGCTCGGATTAGAGTAGCATCTCGTGTCACCAAATCCTCGATCCTCACTCTCGTTTTGCGCTAAGGCAAACTCGTATAGTTCGAACATATCAAGTTAGGTGCATGCGTAACAGATTTTATTCCCCTTTTGATCTGTTTCTTGATCCTATGTCACCTACGATGTTTCTGACTGGTTGATAAATTGGGTCAGTGTCGATGTGTTTGTTGATTGTTGATTGACCTGAATTTCAAGCTTCTAAAAATTTTCCAATGGATAGGGGGATGTCAAAGAACACTGGAGAACTTTTAGAAGCTTGGCATTCAGGTCAATCAGCAATCAACAAACACATCGACACTGACCCAATTTATCAACCAGTCGGAAAAATCATAGGTGACATAGGATCAAGAAACAGATCAAAAGGGGAATGCACTCAAAATGAAGGTGAAAACAACGACAGGTTTAAGGTCAACAACGACTAATCAAGATCGAGGTTCACAGAACAAGTTACAGGTCAAACGTGTAGAAATTCGAATGTTTCACTTCTATCTGAAGTTTGTGCTGATGATGGTGTTCAGCTGAACAATGAAAGCTCCACAACCAAAGCATCTAACTGAGAGAACGAAACACCACAATTCACTCAATATTCAATTTGTTTGCAATTATCAAGCCAAAAATATTGGATAATGAATCCTATACTTGTATTACTGTCGATTGAAGAGTTTTAATACTTTAAATTCTCATTAAATTTGTGAAAATTCAAAATTACCGTAATTTATTATTATTATTATTACTATTATCATCAGCATCATCATCAGTTAGCTCATATAATTCCACAACCAAGTAAACATCACAACGATGTAATTGCCAATCACAATGAACTCCACTACTTATTGTTGAGTCCAAATTTATATAATGAATTTTTATGTCAAACTGTCCACCAGGTTGATTTATCTATAAATGAATAAGAAATATTAAGGCTGTTAGTTATTGATAATACTTATATTATTGCCACTAAAATAATATTTTTGAAATATAGCTAAAATAATTTTGTTCTTTGAAGAAAATTTCAATGCATTTACAAATAGTGAGAATGATGATCAAACTGTGGGTTTAATTGTTTGTCTCATATTATGATTAGTTGTTATTCTCACAATTTAATTGTGATTATACATTGGATATAAGATTTTTTCGAATTGGAGAATATTTTGGCTTAGATTTATTTGTAAAAGAACAGATAAATGATCTGGATGACCGGAATGATCTAGGGATTTAAAACAATTAGTCCCTTTTATAAATTTTGATAGATCACTTACATCTTCTCACTGTTCTGTCAAGATCTAGGGATTGTCTAGCTAATACTATTATCTACGTTTGTGACTAGGTTAGTGGTACATAGATGGAATTTAAGCATGACTACGTTGGTACGCGCTGATTGGCTAATTTCTTATCCAATCAGAGCCTGATCGATTCTTGCAGAACAGGGTAGAAAATTCTCGTACTGTTAGCTGCGTGCTGATTGGTTAAATCTAATCCAGTCGATCACGTGAATTTCTATCCAGAAGCTTCTCATGTAAATGCTGTAAAGAAACTAACGTTGTATCTATTTTTGCCTTCGCCTTTGCCTTCGGCTTCTTATTTCCATTAACCTTGCTATTTGGAATATAATCTTTTCCTGTTCCACCGTGTTTTTGATTCTTTGTAACTTGTCCAGTGTATTGTGGTCAGAGAATAACTAAGCAATAGGATTTAGCCGAGAATTATTCAAGCAAGCGTCTCAACAGACTATTATTCTGGTATTTTAATAGATTCACAAGTAAATATTTTCACATAACTTTGTTCAGCTAGATCTTGTGTAAATATGTTGTCTAGTAACGTTACTCTTAGACAAAAAACAATAATATTTATTCAGGAAATTTATTTGTTCTTACAGAATATTCTTTTGTCATATTAGTGATAAAAAGAAGGAGAATGTCTTTGACTATCAAAACAAGCTTATACCTCTATATGAGAGTAGTTTTTTGTTAGGATATTCACCGAATATCCTAAGAATACTATTTTTAGAAGTGCAATCTTATTGGTCGATTTCTATTGGCCGAAATTATGATCGTTCTTACCGTCAGGGTCAAATACTTCAATGTTACCTCTTATTGGTCATCTGGACGGTCAATGTCATTCAAATGTCCTTCTCTATTGGTCGTCCTAAATTGTCAATGTCACAGACGTTGATGCTTTTTCTTATTCGACCTTAGTGTATAAATACGCGCTATCTGGAAGACTTAATAATTCCGTTTCCCCTGCCTACTTCCTCTGTTTTGGACCCAATAAACATCTTCCTTCCACGGTGTTACGTTCTGATTTCTAGGAGATTGGAAAAGCCTTTTGGGTCGTTTTGTGATATTTGAATTGGACGTCGTTAGGACTGAAGATTTACGTAGCCGCGTTTACAACAAATTTGGCGACGGGTTGGTGACTAATTATGGATCCAGCTACATTAGAAAAATTGTTTGCACAGCAGCTGAAGCTGATGGAGATGCTTACTCAGACGCACATCTCTTCTCAAGTCTCATCTACACCAACAATTCCTCAGTCAGTTGATGGTATGACCAGTAGTATTTCTGAGTTTCTGTATGATCCTGACGCCAATATTACATGTGATACTTGGTTCATGCGTTATGAAGATCTTTGCAAAGTTGATTTTGCTGACAAAGATGATTCCTGGAAGGTGCGTCTTCTCCTTCGAAAACTTGGTCCGTCAGAACTGGACAAGTATTGCAACTTCATCCTACCGCAGAACCCACGTGACCGATCATTCGATGCTATGGTTCAGTCCCTCAGCAAACTTTTTGGGGACCAGCATTCTCTTTTCAATACACGTTATCGTTGTTTAAAACTAGTCATGAATGAGTCCGATGACTTCTTGACCCATGTTGGTATTGTCAACCGCGAGTGTGAACGGTTCAAACACAGATCCCTTACTGATGACCAATTCAAATCTCTCATATTCATATGCAGTCTACAATCGCCCAAATTCTCCGACATCAGAACTCGATTGCTTAACCGCCTCGAACAAGACCCAACACTGACACTCGATGCTATCGCTGATGAGTACCAACGCATCACCAACTTACAGTGTGATACCACTTTGGTTCAATCTGGGAGCCAGGGTGGTTACGAAGTTCACGTTGTTCAGCAGCAGAACAAATCTTCTAGATCGAAAACCTTTGGTCGTTCGAATGCCAGTTCTGATTCTAATCACTCAAAATCAGCGCATAAGAAGCCTCCCTCACCATGTTGGCACTGTGGAGACTGGCATTACGTGAAATTTTGTCCATTCAAGCACCATGTGTGCAATCGCTGTCAGAAAATTGGTCATAAAAGCGGTTTTTGCCAATCAACCCGATTCACTGGCCGGCGAAATTCACAGTCGCAGCGCCGTTATCCCAGAAAGGCGTTTGCTGCATCTAGGAGTTTAGCAGCAGCCTTTCACACCGATGCTTCTACTCTACGCAAATTTCTGACCCTCTCGATCAATTGTCAGCTGGTTCGAATGCAGTTGGATACTGTATCAGATATCACTATTCTGTCAGAAGAGACTTGGCGAACCTTGGGTCAACCACGCATCAAACCATCATCGTAGATAGTTGTCAGTGCCTGTGGGGGTCACCTTCGTCTTCGTGGTAAACTTGATTGCTGTGTTTCGTTCAGAGATACAACCTTCAATGGAACATGCTATATCAACAAGTCTCCTCACAACCTTCTGGGGTTAGATTGGTTCGAAAAACTTGTTCTCGCTGATCTTCCCATCAATACTGTCTGCAATCAAGTAAAAACTCCTGCCGTTATACAACAGCATGCTGCAGATTTTCAAAAACGACTCACTGAACCGCTTCAGCCTGGTATCGGACTGCAGCCAGTTGCCATGCCTGAAGAAAATGTGATCTCAGATAACTTGTGTGACGTCACCATGCATGTCAAGTCCCAAGATAAAGCAGACTGGGGTGATGGAGAAAAACATGATACAATAAACAGACAAAGATATTCACGTGACTCCATTCTTTCTTGTAAATCTTCAAGCGTCGAAGTGAAGCTAGTAAATGATAAGGATATCATGAAAAGCCTTCCAAATACCAAAAGACCTCGTGATCAACTAAGGCCGGGGGGAGATAAAGAGAAAGGTAAAATTACGAAGCGCCTCCCACTCTGTTTGCTGTTGGATACTTATCAAGTTCCGCCAATACCTCCACCAGAAACTATCGAGTCATCTACTCAAACAGAACATCCTACAGCTCCAGGGATTTTATCTCCGAGGTGGTCGAAACGCAAGCGAAGAAAATCAAATGATTTCAAGTAAACCCTCGGCTGCGTCGCTGTTATGTATTTTTTCTTTTTTTTCTTCCAGAGGGAGGTGTTAGGATATTCACCAAATATCCTAAGAATACTATTTTTAGAAGTGCAATCTTATTGGTCGATTTCTATTGGCCGAAATTATGATCGTTCTTACCGTCAGGGTCAAATACTTCAATGTTACCTCTTATTGGTCATCTGGACGGTCAATGTCATTCAAATGTCCTTCTCTATTGGTCGTCCTAAATTGTCAATGTCACAGACGTTGATGCTTTTTCTTATTCGACCTTAGTGTATAAATACGCGCTATCTGGAAGACTTAATAATTCCGTTTCCCCTGCCTACTTCTTCTGTTTTGGACCCAATAAACATCTTCCTTCCACGGTGTTACGTTCTGATTTCTAGGAGATTGGAAAAGCCTTTTGGGTCGTTTTGTGATATTTGAATTGGACGTCGTTAGGACTGAAGATTTACGTAGCCGTGTTTACAACATTTTTGAAAGAACACTTGTAATACTTGTAGGAATAAAGAAAGAGCTGATAACTTTCCTTTCAAGTAATTTTAGTAAGTCGATTTTCACTAGTTCAAATATCCAATATGATTTTAAGTCGATACACTCTGTTACTGATAAATATTTATCGGCAAAAGTAACAATCAGTTGTGTTTGGATTGATTTCGATTGTTCAGATGGTATTCTCCAAATGTAATAATCAATATTTATATTGATTGTAAACACCTGCAATTTTCCATACTAAAATTATTCTCATATATTATATAGACAAAAGATGATGGAATGCTTGTAAACCTAATGAACCATTTAAAAAGTTAGTCGTTTCTTCTGAAACAAATGTCAGTATCCATTATGCTTGTCAATTGATATGCTTTAAACTATTACGAGTTACCCTTAGTCATTAAACGAAAGCGAAGACAAATGATCCAGTGACGTGATAGGGTACTCTAATCCGAGCGTCTCAAGGCCTCACTAAGTAGAGGAAGAAACCTTGACAAGATGTAGAAAGTGTATTCTACAAGCAAACACACACACAAATCGTGTTTATTTATGCCTGATAGGAACGTCCTTAGGAGAGCCACAAAAATAGCGTACTAAAATAACGCATCAACCAATGGCAGTCAAGGATTTTCCGAGTGGGAAATGTAATCTCAAGGTCAGCTGCTCAGCCCAAGCGCACAACCACAAAATCCAAATTTAGGACCTTTATCAAGTGAGTTCTAAAGATCTAACGTCCCAAACAGTATCTACATCTGTTGTACAAGAGTTAAAAAAGATGCTATATGTGTAATTGTAAATGTTACAGATAATTGTTTCGTGTTTTAAGGGTGTATTAGTAGGTCTTTAATAAATAGAAATAAGTGAATAACTGAGAACTTTTTGAACAGCACTACTCTCATGTATAGAAAATTCCATGGAGGAAGATTAAATACTGTCATTATAAGCACAGCCGTGACTATGATGGAATTGGAAAAATAAAATGGAAGGTGAACTGAAACGTAACTGATTAAATGTTCAATAACTCAGTTGTTGAGAGAAAGTGTTTTTATGTTCTAAACACTCTAGTGTTATAAAAAATAGGAATATCCAACATTGT